GGGGTTGGAGGTGGTGGAGGAGGGAGGGGGAGGGGGAAGGAGCCGTGCCCGCGCCCGTCGCCGCCGCCGCGCCCCTCCAGGTCCAAGACCTCTCCTGCGGACTCCGGTGAACGGCGCGCCACCGCCACGACCAAGTCTGCGGCGGGAGATCGGCCGAGATTGCCAGGCAGTCCGGCCGCCGCCGCCAAGCGACCGCGGCAGGAGGCGGCAGGCGGCGGCAAAGGGTCCTCCCCGCCACTTGTTCGATCGTCGGCTGCCGCCGCCACGGCGCCGCTCGCAGCGCCGCCTGCCCCGCCGCGCCGTTCGCCTCGGAAGGCCGCCTCTGCTGCTCCCGCCTCGGCTGCTCCCGCCTCGGCGCCGCCCGCCGCAGCCCCGCCTTCCGCGGCCCGTCTTCCCCCCGCCGCCGCGCCGCCCGCCGCCGCCGCCGCGCCGCCACCGCCGGGCCTGACCGAGCTCGACCGCCAGTGCGAGCACGGCGCGAAGCCCGTCGGCGCACCCGCGGCCGAGGCTGGCCCCGCCTCTTCCGAGGCGAGGGGCGGCGCCCTCGCCGCAGCCCTCAAGAGGCGGCGCGACGACGCCGCTCCGGCGGGCGCTTCCTCGCAGCCGTCTCCGCGCCGTCTCCGCGCCGTCTGCGATCCTCCCCACAGGCAGCGCGACGGCGCCGCGCCGGTTTCCACATCTCGCCATACCTCCCCATACCTCCCTGTATCTCCCCACAGGCAGCGCGACGGCGCCGCGCCGGCGGCGAAACGGCAGCGCGCGTCCGACGGCGGCCCGCATGCCCCTCCCGCCGCCGCGCCCGCCGCCGCCGACGTCTCGAGGCCGCTGTCTCCCATCCGCGACGAGCTCGACCCCGAGCTGGTGATCTTCCCACATCTCCCCACATCTCTACACATCTCCCCACAGCGCTCAACAAGGGGGTTTCACTGCCCAACCGTAGGAGCGACAACTCGCGGAGGAGGGCGAGATCGCCTTTTTGTCGCTGGATCGCGCCAGGGGGGTGTTGGGGGAAGCAGCGCTGTGAGTGAGTGTGTCCCTTTCACAGTCGGGTTTCGAGCTTCACCGTGTCACATCACGGAATACTCGCGAGTAAGCGGGTTGTAAGGTCTCCCGCTCTGCGTGTCAAACTGTCAGAGATAGATGTCGGGTAGGACGGGCCAAAGATCGACTCGCATGTCGATTATGACTGACTGCGGCGACCACACAGCGCTCAGAAAGGTAGAGGGGCGAGCTTTTCAGAGGCAAGCGATTGCACGAAATCCCACACTGGTGCATTTTGGGGCGCTGTGGGCCCCCGGCGCTGGCAATGAGACCGCGCCTTACCTTTTCACAAGGGGGGCCCGAAAGGAACTGAACCCGCCAGGCAGAGCTTGTGCTGTGAATAGAGCAGGCGTGGTCTCTACTCGCCAGAGAGAAAGGAACTAAATTCTAAAACAAGAAAAGAAAAAGACCGATTATGCTCGATTGATGCGTCTTGCGGGATGGCTTAGCGGGTTCGAGCCGTCACACATTGGAAAACAAAACAAATCTCTCTGTCTCACATTGGCTGCCGGGGTGTGCCGAGGGGGTGGCTGGGTGGGCGGTAAGCCGTCATTGCCCGGCGCTGCGTGCAGCGCTCTGAGTGGTAGTGGCGGCGCTCCAAGAGTGGAGCTCTTGGGAAGAGGTTCCTCCTTTCCGCCCCCCCCCCCCCCCGCAAGGGGCGAGACACACCGCGTCATTGGGGTGCCCCGTGTGTCTCGCGCCTTGCTTGCGGGGGGGAAGCGGTATGTCCCGTTGCGCCCAAGTGTCTGCTGGGCCGAGCCCCCGAAACGGACGGCCGGACGGCTGCAATCAATGAAACTCGTCGGGTCGAGTCGGCAACTCTTATACTTAGCCTCTTATACTTGCCGCCAACCAAAACGGCGCCCGTGCCGTTTCCCCCGTTCGTATTCCGCCTCCACATTCACATATGGAGACATGCTCGCTCTCCTGACGCCGTTAACGCCGGCATCGTACTCCTTTGAGGTGGTGAACCTGCCGCCCACGCACTTCGCCGACGCCTGGTTCAGCGGGGGGGCGCTTGCCGGCTCCCGCTTTTTCCTCGCGCCCATCCGTTCGCCGGGCATCGGCATCTTTGATGTGCAAAGCAAGCAGTCGAGCCTCTACGACATCTCCACCAGCGTGCGGACGCAGTACCGGTTCTCAGACGCCGTGGTCGCAGGCAGCGAATGCCGCGTCTACTTCGCTCCTTACAATGCCCAGGGCGTTGGCGTCTACGGCGTCAGGTGGCATCGCCGTCCCGGCGTCCCAGAGCAGCGTCTATTCAGGGCGACGCCGCTCACGTCATTTAGAGCGGTGTCAGCTTAAAGCAATCGCTGCTCTTACTAGCTAGAGCGGTGTTCACTCAGCAAAGTCCCGCTCTGAAGAGGAGGGGCGGAGGAGAGCGCGACTGAGGGAGGCGAAAGCAGCCTCTCCGCGGAAATTGACCGCTCCCGCTATGTTGAGCGGTGTTGCACTGACTTGACTCCGCTCGAACGTGCTCGGTCGGTGTTTTTCTGAGCAAGAGTCCGCTCTGAAGGTTGCAGAGCGGAGTCTTGTTAGGCAAACGCTGCTCTGTGTTGTGTAGAGTGGGGTTTGAGCTTGACGAACGCTGCTCTAGTACCTGCGAGCGGGGTTACTGAGATATAACGCCTCTCTGAGAGCCGAGAGCGGCGTTGAGCGTTTTACTTTTGGCCCTCAGCCCGCGCTGCGCCTCATCCGCAGCGTTGACTTGTCCAGAGAGCTCTACAGACAGGTCACAGGAGACAGTCAGCCGCTGCTCCGCAATGCGCAAACGCTCGCGCCGACACCAGGGAGAGAACAGGCGAGGGGGACACCATGGCGTGTACTGTCTGTACTGGTAGCCTACGGCTTTCTGCCACCATGTGAGCTTCGCCCCCCCCCCCCCCCCTCTCAACGCTCAAGGTGCCGGGCGCGGGCGCGGCCGCGCGAGATAGGGAATCCGATACGCGATGGCCGACAGCGATACACACACGAATCACGATCGACTTCGCTCATCCGACATCGCTGTCTGAGCTCGGTCCTCGGAGTCGGACCACGCAGCACGGCCCCCGATGCACGGCGCGACACGGCACACGCACACACGAGGTGGTTGGTGGGTCGTGCTCGAGGCTCGAGCGGTGGAGGCTGGAGGTGGAGCTGGAGGGGCTCTGGCGCTGGCGAGGTACTTCCAGCCTGCTGTGGGAACAGCTGACGCAGTCTCGCCGAAGCTCGCCCCAGCATGACTCGGCCAGACTAAAACCCCGAGCGGCGTGGGAGTACCTCGCCAGACCTGGCGAGGGGTCCGAGACCGACGGTGCGATTATCGATTATATACATTTTTGGACAAAACTCTCTTTTTCTAGCGCCAACGAAGTGGCATGGTCTACAGACTTTTCTCACAAGCCGATGGCGGTGAGAAGGTAGTCGATCGTGCTGACGGACGAGGCGCGGCCCCAGCTCGGCGCGGAGTAGTGGGTGTCCGGGACGAGGAAGGTGCTCTGTGCAGAGGGAAAGTAGACGCGTCGGCACAGTGGGGGGCAAAAGGGGAGGGGGCGGGCGGGCGGGCGGGAGGCAGGGGCTGGGGTGGGGGTGGGGGTGGGGGTGTGTGGGGGGGGAAGACTGCGGGGGCTGCGAAGCTGTGCGAGAAGGCGTTGCCGAGTGATGTGAACGTGTGCGGGGGGGAGGGCGGAGGGGGAGGGGGAGGGGGGGGGGGGGGGGGTCGCCTCGAGCTTCACGCCCTCGCCAAAGGAGACGGTCCGGCGGATGGGCGGCTCGGACAGGGTGAGCTGCAGCTCCGAAGGGACCTCGCACCGCTCCGACGAGGAGAGCGAGGACCTCCCGGAGGACGACGGGGAGAGAGACATTGACTCGCGGAAGTCGAAGCCGCCAACGCGTGCGTCGGTCGTCGATGGCGTCTTCGTCTCCGCCAAAGCCAAGGGCAGGGTCCTCGTTCGCGAAAGCGATCGCGACTTGAGGCTGGGAGACGCAGGTTTGGCGTCGAGCGGCGGCGGCTGGTGGCGGTGCGCGAAGCAGGCGGTGAGCGACGGGCGGGCGGGCGGGTCGGACCGTTGGATTGGCCAGGTTCCGCGGCGGGCGTACGGCGTATGGACGTCGGCGTTCATTGAGGCATGGACACTCGCAGTGCTCAGAGAATCGGCGAGCCCGTCCGGGACGGGGCTCGGCGGCTCGTATGGAGTTGATAGCGTCTCCTCGCTGGTGTCCCACCCGTCCTGCTCGGCCTCTTCCGCCGTGCACACCTGGTCGACAAAGGTCAGATTCGGGCAGGAGGAGGATCTCAGCATCAAAAATCCTCGCCGAAGAGCCCGCCACAAAGCACGTCGGTCTCGCCACAAAGACGCTCACTACTCGAGTATGCAGCCGCCGTCGAGAGATTTGAGAAACCGTCCTCTCAGAGGAGAGACTTGTGAGCCTGTTTGTGTCTGTGTGTCGCTCATGCGTGTCGTCATCATCTGTCTAGCGTCCACCCATACCGCGTTGGTGTCCAGTCCGAGCCTGGCACAATCCCACCAAAGTTGAGACGTGCACTCAGAAACTCTCTGGTGGGCAGTGCACCTACCTCGAAAGGAGAAAATTTCCCAAAATTTATGGGTGTAAACGAATGCCTCGTCTGCAGAGAGAAAGATTTTTAGCAATACCGTTTGGCGTCTGCAGTCGAACGAAGTGTTGCGGCCCGCCATTATTCATTCATGCGACCCGCCTCTGTAGGATCCCAACGCGTTGGACGGCCAAGGTAACGATGCTACCGAGGCTCTCTCCGTGTTCTAGAGTGTTGACCGCCACTATGGAGGGGATCAGAGGCAGCCGCTGCACTGAGGTCCTCTTGTGAGGACCTCTCGCCTGGGGAGGACCTCTCGTGAGGACCTCTCTCGCGGACTCTCAGAATAAGAATTTCACAAGACACGCTGTGCGAGAGAGAATAATTTGTTGAGGAAAGGGAAATATACTTTCAATCGAACAGACGTCGCCAAAGACTTCTCATCAGCCGACAACCTGCACTTGTCTAAGTAGGTCGTTGGTCGGACTGTGTTTCGCCTTCCTATCCACGTATGATAGTTGATAGGGCGGTGATGATGAGTCAGGCCGCGAGGCGGAACGGACGTAATCTATCTCTCTGGTAGCCTATAGGGATTTTACAAGGTATAGGGCCTTCCGTAGGGCGTAGGGACCGACCCCAGCTTCGGCTGAGGGTGCGAGAGTCGTGATTTCTTGTCGGGGTTCGGTTTTTTCTTTTTCCAGTTTGGGCCAGCGGATCACACAGGGCCCCCTCCCTCGGTGAGCAGCCCACACGATCACGCATCGGCAGATTACACACACTCACACACACTCAATGGACGATGACATCAAACTGCTGCGGAAGAGCGTGTAGAGCGCAACAGAGCCAATTGCAAGTACGGAAAAAAGAAATCAAGGCGGGGCGCCGATGGCCTCGCACCGCATCGGCGCGCGCGTCGCGGGCCTCTCGCCAGCGCAGCTGTGCGCCATCATCGAGGCGCAGGCGGGCGCGAGCGACGCCGCGCTGCGCGTGGCGGAGGAGCACGCCGCACGGCTGGTGGAGCAGCCCGAGTCGGTCCTCTCCGTCCTCCTCTCGCCGGACCTCGTGCCGCACATCCTCGCCCAGCTGCCGACCACGGAGCACGCCGCCAAGGGGACGTGCCGCGCGTGGCGCAGCGGCTGGAAGGAGACGCTGAAGAAGCGCGAGAGGCCGCGCCTGGTCGTGTTTTGCGGCCGCGATGAGAACAACGATACCCTTAGCTCGATGGAGCGGTACGACCCGTCGACGAACGAGTGGGAGGAGGAGGCTGTGGCACCGATGCCGACGGATAGGGAAGGTGCCAGCATGGCGGTGCTGGATGGCAAGCTCTACGCGGTCGGCGGTTTCTCCAGCGGAGTTGGACTTTCCAACTCAGTGGAGCGGTACGACTTTGAAACGAAAGCGTGGGAGGCTGCGGCGCCGATGGCAGCGGCACGGTGTTCGCACGCCGCGGTGCTCGACGGCAAGCTGTACGCTGTCGGCGGGTACGACAACAGCGCCGACCACTACCTCAGCTCGGTCGAGCGGTACGATCCCGCGACGAACGCGTGGGAGGCGGTGGCGCCGATCGCTATGGCTCGGGAGGATCTCGCCGTCGCGGTGCTCGACGGCAGGCTGTACGCTGTGGGCGGGTACAGCGGCGGCGGCGGCGTCCTCAGCTCGGTGGAGCGGTACGATCCCGCTACGAATGCGTGGGTGGCGGTGGCGCCGATGGCGACGGCGCGTCAGCGTTCCGGCGTGGCAGTGCTCGACGGTAAGCTGTACGTTGTGGGCGGCTTTTGCGATTCCTTCCTCGGCTCAGTGGAGCGGTACGACCCGGCGTTGAATGCGTGGGAGGAGGTGGTGCCGATGGCGTCGGCTCGAGACGAGCTCGCAGTCGCGGTGCTTGACGGCAAGCTGTATGCTGTGGGCGGCGAAGGCGAATCCTTCAATTTGGGCCAATCCAATTACGGCCGCCTCAGCTCAGTCGAGCGGTACGATCCGGCGCTGAATGCGTGGGAGACACTGGCGCCAATGGGATCGGGGCGGATCGGCAGCATTGCCCTGCTGTAAGTCGATTGCCATACGTCGCAGCCGCCGAGCCTGCGCCACGACGACCTTTCCTTTGTAGGTCAGTCAGTCAGGCCCGGCTTGCTCGTGCCGCATGCACAAACTCGCTCCCCCGGGCCGCCTGTCTCTATCCTTCAGCGACGCGGTGTGAACGTGAAAGTAACCAGATCTCACTGTCGATCGTTACGGCGCGCGGGTTCAAGATAAAAAGAAAACCCCGTGCCCGCGCGCCGGAAAAAGAAAAAGAAAATGCGAACGGCCAAATACGGCGGGCACTTGAGTGGCCTTCCCGCGAGACGCTGCGCCGCCCTTCCACATGGGGTGGCTCACGACGCTCTTCTCTCCTCAGCGGGCGCTCGCGCCTCGCTGTCCGGCGAGGAGAAACCGCGGTTTCTTGCGTGCACTCGACTCGGCTCGATCGGAGACGCGGAGTGGCATAGGCAAGCTCGGTGTGATGAGCGGCTTCCTCGACGGCACGGCCGCCTATGTCCTCTCCTTCACGTGACTCTCAGAATAATAATTTCACAATCTTTTTGCGCGATTTTGTACTTGTTTCATGGGAATTCGGCGTACTTGCGGCCATGCTATCACGCCTGCCTTGCGACAGCCTGTCGGCGCTGCTGACCGTGTGCCATGATGCACAATTGATCACCTGCATAGCTCGCGGCCTTAGTATCAAGCATTCAGTGACGACCTGATCGTACGGTCAGTAGGGGGGTGTCCTTCCATCGTGTGCACGCTTCTGGCGCAATGCGCGTCGCCTCGGATTGGCTGCTGGCACTCTCGAGGCTATGCCTACACAGCCTCGCGCGCATGGGCAGTCAAGAGGTACCACGCACCTTCTCAGGACAGCGCCGATGCCTCTCTCTTGGACCGGCAAACTTGGTGGTCTCGTGTCACCGATGTGGGACCAGTGCGGCATCGCGCCATCGACAGCTCTGAACTGCGCCTCACCACTGACCGGGAAGGCCGCCAAGTGGGCCAGCACCGGTCGCACATTGTGGCAGCAGTCAGCAGTGCATGTCTGATAGCTAGAGCAGCAGCGTCAGGGTCGCAGGGTCGGATCGTGTCAAGCCTCTCGCCCGGCCGGCCGCGTGCAGACGTCGGCCTGTCTGGGGAGTGATCTGTCGGCGGTCAGCACTAGTAGAGACTAATAGAGCCGGGGCCCCGTTTCCGCACTGCTGCGCGGCGCACGGTGCCTCCGGGGGCCCCCGCGCCCCCCCAGAGATCGAGACTCCAGAGGTTGACGTACATGGGGAGCCGTACTGCGCTGCGCGGAGATCCGCCGCCCGCCGCCCGCTGTCGGACCAGAGTGTCTCGATTGCGACGTCGCGACTGTCACTCCCAGTCGTCCTCCGTCCAGTCGCGGTTCCGCGCCGCCCACGGCCCTGTGATGGGCGAGAGCGGCGCGATCCTGCCCCAGGATGCGTTGAGGCCTTTAATGAAGCGGAGCATCCGCACCTGCTGCTTCAGCGGCTCGTACTCGCACGAGGTCGGCACCGCGTCCGGGAAGAGGCCCCCGCAGCTGCAGCCAGTGTAGTATATGAGCGCGAAGGCGAAGGAGCCGCCCACGTGCGCCGCGGCCGGGTCGTCACGAGGAATGGCGACACCCCGGAAAAAGTTGGAACCCAGGGACGGGCCCGCCTCGTGGGCTGACGGCCTGTTTAGCCGCGCTATGTTTGAGGGTGCGGCTGAGTTTGCCGCGCTCGACGCGCTCCGACCGTCGCTGACGTATCCACAAGCTGCTAAAGACATCGCGGACGCCGAGCGGCTGTGCACTGATCATCCAAGTTGGGTGATGTCCACGCTTGAGCAGATGCGACGGCGGCAGCGGACGCACGAGGGCGACCGGAGTGAGCTTGTTTGTGTCTGTGTGTCGCTCGTGCGTGTCGTCATCATCTGTCTTGCGTCCACCCATACCGCGTTGGTGTCCAGTCCGAGCCTGACTGTTCTTCACCTTACTACATATGTATGTTCGTAGGGAGGTGATGAGGAGTCAGTTAGCGCGGCGGGCGGTTAGTGTATGTTAGCAGGGAGGTGATGAGGAGTCAGTTATGCGCGGCGGGCGGTTAGACGTTACGGACGGGGCGAATCTCATTGCGTCAGGCCCACGACCGACACCCACCGGAGCGTGGCGGTGGCGCAGGGCCGGCCGCACACCATGCCGAGTCCGCTCATACAGCCTTCTATTAATAATACAAGCCCATGGTCGCTGGTAGCAGTCACTCACTCGCACACACACGCCGCACTGCACCGCGCGCCCGCCCACCGCCCCGCCCCGGGAGGGCAGAAGCGGGTTTTCTTTTTCCAGTTGGGCCAGCTGGCGCTCGTCGGCGAGGAGTCCGGCGCCACCTCCACCACTTTCCTCGCCTCGCTGCATGAAGTCGGCGCTGGACCTCCTCAGCCTGGGCGCCTCGTTCTGGAGCATCCACGAGACGCGGCAGACGCACCAGAACGCCGTCCAGGTCGATCGGGACCTGCACGTCCGTGGGCTCGCGGCTGCGGCCGAGCACCACTACCAGCAGCTGATCGCCGAGCTGCTCGCGGCAGCCAAGGAGGCGGACCGCGACGTGTGGGAGCAGCGGAACGGGCAGTTCAACAACCTGATGCTCGCCTCGATCCTCATGTTTGGCGTCGGCATGTCGGCGATCATTGAGGGCAACTTTGACCTGAACGACAGTGGCATGGCCGTGATCGTCTTCTCCTTCTTCGAGGCGGTGGCGCTGTCGACGCTCTTCCTCTCGCTCGTCTCGTGCCTCCTCGTCTCGCGCCGCATGTCCATCTACATGATCTCGCGCACCGGCAAGCTCGTCGAGCGGCTGTCCTTCATCATCAAGTCTGCAGACATGCTCGCCGCCGACGCGTCCAACATCTCGTCGCTGCCCTCGCCGCGCAAGCGCGGGCTAGAGGGCGACGAGGAGGAGGCCACCTCTGTCGGTCGCCGCGCGCGGGCGCAGCGCCGCTGGAAGGAGCTGCTGCGGGCGATCGACGAGCGGCGCGTGCCGGGCTACAGCACCGAGTTGCCAGAGGCGTACAACCGCGGCCAGCGGCTCAACTCGATGCGGATGTGTGAGGGGCGTGTGTGCTTCGTTTTCTAGGCGTCCAACCCCGGCCAGCGGCTCAACTCGATGCGAATGGCGCAGGTCTGTGACAAAAGTGCTCGGAGCCCCCGCCCCTTGTGCGCGAGGCTGATCGGCCACCTCTCGGCCACCTCTCGCCCACCTCTCGCCCACCTCTCGCCCATCTCTCGCCTCGTCTGCAGGTCTCGCTGCAGCGCGAGCTGATCCGAGCCCTCGAGTCGACCTCGGCAGGGCAAAGGGCGGTCGAGCACGGCGCGGGCCGCACCCCAGCCTCTGCTACTAGTCATCCCTCCTTGATCCTTAGTCGGTCAGTATGAATGAGTAGGCGCGGGCCGCCACCCCAGCCGCCCGCCCTCGTTTGGCGGCAGCCTCGACCAGCTCTCCTACCTGCCGCCGCCGCCGGCGGCGGCCCCTTTGGGACACCACAGCGGTTCGGCAGCCGGGGAGGACGAGTCGGACACTGCGCGGCTGCTGCCGTCCGGCGCCCCCGCGGGCCAGGCGATGCAGCACTACTACTACTACTACTACTACTACTACTACTACTACTACTACTACTACTACTACTATACTAATAATAATACTACTCCTCCTCGGGCCAGGCGACGCAGCGGCGGCCCCTCGACCTCGGCCACGCCCTTCTCCCGCCGGCAACGAGCGGCGACTCCTCGCCCTCTCGCGCCCACGACGCCGCCTCCTCCTCCTCCTCGGCGCCGGCGGCCGGGCGGGCGGGCGAGGCGGCCAGGGCGGGCGCCGGCAGGGTGCGACTGCCGCCGCGGCCTCCCCAGCGCGCGGTGCCGCCGGCCGGCCTGCACAGCGCGCCCTCGTGGCAGCGCGGCCCTGACGGCCGCCTCTCGATGGACGGCGCGGCGCGGCCGGGAGCGAGCCCCGCGCAGCTCCACTCGCAGTACGCGCGCATCTCGGAGCCGGCGAGCTCTGCGCGCGCCTCCCCAGGCTCAGCTCGCGCCACGCCAGTCCCGCCGGCCAGCACCGGCGGCGGCGGCGGCGGTTATGGTGGCGGTGATGGTGGCGGTGGCGGCGGCGGCTTCCGAGACGCGTGGCCGGCGGGGAGGGAGGGGGACGAGCGCGCGAGTGCTTTCCACGCGGCGATGCGTGCCTCGGGCCGCATCCAGACCTTTGACGAGTTTTGGAGGCGAGGCACCCCTAGCCCCTGCCCCTGCCCCTGCCCCTGCCCCTGCCCCTAGCCCTGACCCCTAACCCTTCCCCTGTCCCTGCCCCTGCCCCTAACCCTGCCCCTAACCCTGCCCCTAACCCTGCCCCTGACCGTGCCCCTGCCCCGGCCCCGGCCCCTGTCCACTTGATCTCCGACCTCGCCTTCTTCACTAGTACCTCATCCCTACGTCTTAGGCGCCACTGCCCCTGATCTCCGACCTCGCCTTCTTCACTAGTACCTCATCCCCGTCTTAGGCGCCACTGCCCCTGATCTCCGACCTCGCCTTCTTCACTAGTACCTCATCCCTCGTCTTAGGCGCCACTGCCGCTGGATCTCCAACCTAGCCTTCGCCTCCTTCTACGTCGGCTCCGGCTCCGTCTGGGGCGCCGTCGTGGTCTTCTTCTTCGCGCTGTTCGACGACGCGTCGATGGGCGCCGTGTACGTCTTCGTCGGCATCTGCTCGACCGCCCTCTTCGCCTCCCTCGTGCTCGTCGTGACGGTGCTGCAGGAGCCAATCTCCGCGCGCATCGAGGTGCCCCCCACCGTCGGCGGGTTGCCCGCGGCCGCGGTGGGCGGCGGCGCGGCGTGGAGGGGCCGTGGCGGGCCGTGACGGCCGGGGAGGGCGCCGGCAACGCCGAGCAGCGGTGTCGCGACCCCGTGACCTGGCGGCGTTGCGCCGCACCGAGAGGGGGGACGATCCGGAGTGGACTGACGATCCGGAGCACACATTGAATGCCATGATACTTTAGACGTGGAGTCGCGAGGGTCGTGTAAAGTAGAGCGTAATGCTGGTTCGCGCCCGCGCACTCTGGCTCTCCACCTGGGTCTCCGCGCACTCGCTTGCTTTTTTTCGCTCCAGTCCTGCGGATCCTTCAGTAGTAGACCGCAGGGCTACGAAGCCTTCACACTCCAAGGGGCTGGTCTCGGGGGGGGGGGGGGGGGGGTCGCCCCAGAGGCTGTAAATCAGGCTGTATCCCCTGTCCGAGTCTCGGACATCGGGGACGCACCCCATCTGGATCTGCCTCTCGCGTGGAACGCCGGCGCCCCTGCGCGGCGCACCCGTCCGCTGTGCGCCGGCTCGCGCGCCTATTGCCAAATCGCGACGTTTGAGCGCAGCGCACGCGTCCCACACGTCACGCGCGCGCAGGAGAGCTTGCGGCAGACACGTAGCGTGTACTCGCCGAGGGCATCGCGCCGCAAACCCCGCGCATTCCGCCCCAGCAGAGGCTGCAGCCGATGCGCAAGCTTCACCACTGTAAGAATGGTGACTATATAAGCGTGGGTGGGCTTGCTTGCTCTCTTTTTCAGAGAGCAAAAATGCAAGAAACCATCTCGCGTTCACCCGGTAGTGTACGGTGCTGTCCAGTCCGAGCCATACTCATACACATCCGACCCCTCCTGTTGCTTCTTGACGACACCTGCGCCAGTCCGGAGGACCACCGCACCACCCCTGTGAGCCTGTGTCGCTAAGTGCGGCTTCAGGGTTTAGCCGGTGAGGGGGGCGGGGCGGGGCGGGGCGGGGTGGTTTGGGTCGGGTCGGGGGGGGGGCGGGGTTGTGCGACCGCCCTTTGGTGTAAACTTCTTCTGAGGAAGCCCCGCGCCTCGCCTGTCGCGTGAATCGTAAAAGAAAGAAAGAAAACATACAAACGGACGGATGGGAGGACGGCACGCCGCCACCACGCGTGAATCGTGTCGTGCGACCGCGTGTTGTAAATTCTTTTGCCCAGGTATTCGTTGTAAAATTCTTTTGCCGCACGACACGATTCACGCGACAGGCGAGGCGCGGGCGAGCTTCCTCAGACAGTGTTTGTAAAAATTTAAGAATTCTTTGGCCGCGCGTGACTACTCCGTCGGTGGTTCTGAAGGATGAAGTTCGGCCAGACGCTCCGAGCTGCGCAGTGGCCGCCTTGGGACGAGGTCTACATCCCATACAAGTCCCTCAAGAAGATCCTCAAGGCGGGCGCCGCAGGCGAGGCGGGGTTCGGAGCTACAGAGGGCAGCTTCGTTGCGAAGCTTTGCGACGCCGTCAGCAGCGTGGACGCGTTCTTCACTGCGCAAGTCGGACTCCTGACCAGGCGTCTGGCCGCGCTGCGGACGGCGTCGCAAGTGTCGGGCGCCGAGCTGGCGGCCGTCTCTGAGGAGATGGACGTCCTCTGCTCCGGTCCTACTGTAGCCTTGCCCGCTGCCTCTCCGCTCACTGCCGCGTCCTCTTGCCACCCTCGGCCGCAACCCGTCGGCAGGTGTTGACTGGCTGAGAGGGTATGCCGAGCTAAACCGCGTCGCGGTGCGCAAGATCTTGAAGAAGCACGACAAGTCGTCGCAAATCGCGCTCACGCCGTCCCTCGGGCCCTGGGTCGAACGCCGCGCCTTTGCGTCGCTACGAGGCCTGGACGCGTTGTTGCGCGCAGCCGAGAATTTCCTCGCGCTGCTGGTCGCGCCGCTGGACGGCCGACGGTCGGGCCAGGCGGCGGGCCCGAACGGCGCTCAAGCGGCCTGCGGCGGCGCACCCGCCGCCGCCAAGGTGGAGCCGCCCGCGTCGATCGTGTGGCAGCCGAGGCCGCGGGGCGCGGAGGTGCTGCCGCCTCCTCCGACTCGTCTGCCCTCCACCGTCGGCGCCGGCTCTAGCGTCGCCGAGGCTGCCAGCGCAGCGGCGCACGGGGCTCACAGGGAGACGGCCGAGCGGTGCGCGTTGCTGCTCACCACCTTGACCCACGCGAGTCCCGGCCAAATGAGCCCCAGTCCGGCCGTCGCCGACACGGCGCTGCTCCATCGTCCAGAAATCGTTTGAGAGTGTCTCTGCTCGGACCTCTATACTCGCGAGCAGGCGCCTCGCTCGCCGTCGCTGCTCGTCCGGAACGTGCCCGCGTGTGTCGAGTGCCACCGGTCAAAGACGGCGTGCTCCGGCGGGTTCCCGTGCACGCGCTGCCTGCGGCTTGGGAAGGTGCAAGACACTTCCGAGACGAGACCCCATCTCTGCTCCCGTTCAGCGCGCACTGCCTGCGGCTTAGACCATAAAGGCTCGCACCGCTTCGGTACTTCATCGGAGCCCGTCCTATTTGAGGAGGATGCATTTAATTTCACACGCGCTGCGCCTTCGGCTGCGCGACGTGCAATCAGCCCCCCCCGCCCCCCCTCCCCCCCAAACAGGTCTGCGTACCGCGGCAGAGGCACAAGCGCTTCCGCACCGCTGCGTGCCGCGCCGGCGCTGCCAGCGTTGGACCCTCGCATGCCGCGATCGCGGACGAAGTGGTCGAGGAGATGCGCCGCCTCGAGCCGGCTGCCGGGGAACCAGAGCCGGGCCCTACGGCGCTGGAGCTGGAGCTGGAGCCCACAGCCGCTCAATCGCAGCCGTCGCAGCCGTCGCCCACGCCCGTCGCCCTGCAGGGCGTCGTTGAAAGCGCCTCGCATTCATTGCCCAACCGTGCCGCCCGGCCGGGCACCGTTCAGGCTTCCGCCGCCGTGGCCCGGCCAGAGCCCTTTTCGGCCGTCCCGGGCGTGTGCGGGCCGACGACGTGGCTATCTGGCAACCTAGAGCTGCTCAGCGCAGTGGCGCGCATGGAGGGGGAGGTGCTCTAGAGGCCCGTACGAAGAGCGGGCGAAAGGGGCTCGTCTTGCTGGCTCGAGCAATGAGTAATGTATCTGACAATCTGATTCTCTGTTGCCCCAACGACCTTGAAGTGTGTTTTGGGATTTTGCCTGACCCTCGGTGCATGCCTGACGTACTCTACTCCCGCCCCTGACCCTCGGTGTGCATTCGTGACGTACTCCCACCCCTGACCCTCGGTGCGCATTCCTGATGTACTCACTACTGTACGTGGCTGTGGGTCGACAGCGATTGTAGGACAACGAAGGGACCAAGTCACGGTCGCGGCCTTCCGACTCGCGCAGCCCGGGGAGGATTGGGAGGGGGGTCGGCCGGAGGAGTACGCCGGCCTCTTCGACGGCCCATAAGGGGCCGTCGCCTACCGTGCCTTTTGTAGTGCCAGTCCGAGCCAGTCTGCTGTGAGAGGGGCTTGTGTAGTAAAATTCTCTTGCTGGCGGGGGTGGGCGGGTGCACGGAGCTAAGTGCCTGTGTGTCTCGCGCCTTGCGGGGGGGGAGCGGAAAGGAGGAACCTCTTCCCAAGAGCACCACTCTTGGAGCGCCGCCACTACCACCCAGAGCGCTGCAAGCAGCGCCGGGCAATGACGGCCTACCGCCCACCCAGCCCCCCCTCGGCACACCCCGGCAGCCAATGTGTGACGGCTCGAACCCGCTAAGCCATCCCGCAAGCGGGATGGCCCGCCACTCGAACCCGCAAGCGGGTGTACGAACCGCGAGCGGCTCGCACTCGTGACACGCAGGCGTCCGCCAGACGGCGCCGGGGCTAGGCGACCGAAGAGGAACTACGGCAAGAACCGCACACCACCCGCTGACGAGCGCTCGCGGAACTGGTCCGCGGCGCCCGCCAGGGGCGTGCGCGAGACAGGGGTCCAACACGATCAGCCCGGCGGCACGAGGGGAGGCGCTCGACGACGAGGCGCCAGCCGCGACGGCGGCAGGAGGCGAGGCGAGCAGCAGTGCTCCAGGAGGCGAGACGGTCCTCGGGCGGCGCGAGCGAGGGGAGGCGCTCGACGACGAGGCGCCGACCGTGATGGCGGAAGGCGACGAGGCGAGCAGCGGTGCCCCACCAGCGAAGAGACCGCGCGGGAAGAAGGGGGGAAGGAAAGCGAAGATGGGGGCAAACAGAGTCAGTGACGAGCGTGGCAGAGAGAGAGAGGGGGTCTAGTGGAGCGTCTTGTGTTGTGGAGGGGTCGAGGTCGAGGCGCATACGCGCCCGACGAAGACTCCTCAGGTGCCTGCGCACCAACCACCCCCGGTGTTTTGACACCATTATTCGGTATATTAACCTCGCGGCCGCCTAGATAGACTGAAAGAGCTAGACACCGCAGGAGGCGAGGCTGCTGCTGCTGCTGCTGCGGCTGCTGCGGCTGCTGCAACGCTAGATACGATTCGCCCACCCAGCCCGCCCGCCCGCCCGCCCCACCCGCCCGCCCGTCCACCTCCTACCCACCGACCGCCCACCCTCCCATCGCCATACGCGTGGGCGCTCGAGAGCTCCCCTCGCTGCCTACTCGCTGCCTCTGGGGAGGAGGGGAAGACGTAGGGCTGCATGCGCGCCTTCCAACTGAGGCCCCTCCCCGAAAGGCAAGTCTTAGCCACACGAAACCGAGACCCCTCCCCCCCCGCCCCGATCCCCCCACCCCCTTGCTCCCCTCCCCCCCCTCGGGAGGGCCGAACTGAGGCGCCCGTGGGGACCCCACAATCCCCTTCCCCCCTCGGAGGGGGCCGGACGGAGGCGTACCCCGTGGGCCCCGCTCTTTCCCTCGCATAGCGGCCACTCTTCGGATCGCTGGTCGAGCGACCCGGGGGATGCCCCGCGCGCCTGACCCAGGCGCGAGAAACGAATCTGCGAGGCGAGGCCGCTCACGCGGCCCGATGGGGAGGAACGGGGCGAGCCCCCTCCAACCCACCCGCGCTAGGTCTCGGGGGACGAAGGGGTCACACCCGACGACCTCGGGAACTAGCCGGGGCAGTCGGAGAAGTGGCAACTCCGTGCACTGACGGTCGGCCGCCAGAAAACACGCCTCCGTGGCTCGGGTTACACCAATCCTCGCTACCCAACGCGGCCAAAGGATATCCACCTCGAGAACCTCGAGAACAGGGCTCGAAGCCCTTTTCTGTGAGCAGGGATTCCCTCCCGGCGGGGGTTGTGGCTGAGAGCCGGCATGCCTCGCCACCCTCGCAGGAGTCGCTTAGGCGGCTCCCGTGGTGTACCTGTGTTAGTGCCAGTGCGCGCCAGTCCCGTACCCGGTGTCGTGCGACGGAGTTTCTTGTAAAATTCTCTTGTAAGACTCTCTTGAGGGCCCCACTCTTTCCTTCGCATAGCGGCCACTCTTCGGATCGCTGGTCGAGCGACCCGGGGGATGCCCCGCGCGCCTGACCCAGGCGCGGAAACGAATCTGCGAGGCGTGGCCGCTCATGCGGCCCGATGGGGAGGAGGGGAAGACGTAGGGCGTGCTTGCGCGCCTTTCCGAGGCCCCTCCAACCCACCCGCGCTAGGTCTCGGGTTTGACGCATGGGGTCACTCCCGCGAAACCCGTGAACTAGCCGGGGCAGTCGGAGAAGGGGCAACTCCGTGCACTGACGGTCGGCCGTCAGAAAACACGCCTCCGTGGCTCGGGTTACACCAATCCTCGCTACCCAACGCGGCCAAAGGATATCCACCTCGAGAACCTCGAGAACTCTCTTGTTTTTTTTTTAACTCTCTTGTTACCCGGGTAGTGCCAGTGCTCGCCAGTCCCGTGCGTGCATCGAGTGCGAGGGCGTCTCTAATCCACAATGACGGAGGCGCCAGCGACCGCGCGCTACGGAGGCCGCACAAAGGTGGTCCTCTTCGGCGACTCCATCACGCAGTACTCTTTCCACGCTGGCGGCTGGGGGCAGCGCCTGACCGAGTACTTCAGCCGTCGAGCGGACGTCTTGAACCGTGGATTTGCGGGCTACAACACGCTGTACGCCCACCTTGCGCTGCAGCGCCTGCTCCCCGGCGAGCTCTCCGACGCGGCGCTCTGGACTGTCGGGCTGGGCGCAAACGACTCGATGCTGCCAGGCTCTGAAGTCCACCTGCCGGCCAGCGAGTATGAGGCGAATCTGCGTGCAATCCTCGGCAGGATCCAGACGGCGTCCGGAGGTCGCGCCGCAATCATTGTTATCGGACCGCCACCCAAGGTGGACGATCAAGAGGCCGGTCAGAGCAGTGCGAGTTCGGCCGAGTACGCTGAGATCGCCAGTCGCTGCGCCGCAGCGTACGGAGCCGAGTTTCTCGACATGCACGCAGCGATGAGCTCGACGGGCAGGCCGTTTAGCGACTTTAGCCACGACGGGGTCCACTACAACACCGCCGGCAACGCGTTTGCCTTTGAGCGGATCAGGGGCGTGATCGACACCAGACTCCCTCAACTCGCCGTCCCCCGTGATCCAGTGACGGGCAGGTACGACTTGCCAAACGCGTCACCCCTCCCGTGCGAGATGCCTGGCATCATGGAGCTGATTGACCACGCCAACCCGGCGGCAGTGTTTACGCCGCTGGAGCCGGCATCGGCGGCGGCAGTGGCGGCACATGCAACACTGCCAAGCTTGTGGCAGACACCGCCGCCCTGGCGGACGGCGCTAGTCTCTGCCGTGCTGGGAGCAGCCGCAGCAACGGCTGCCATTATGCGTGTGGCGTCGATCAAGTTTAGAGTGTAGTGGAGCTTGGGGGTGTATCGGGCGGCCACCGACGCCGTCGGTGGTTGGCGGGCGGAACGGGACGGGCGGCCATCGAGTGATCGTGGGCCTGAGCCTGTGACTAGGGGGGCGCTCTCAGAAAAAGGAATTTGAAACCCTGAAAAAAGAAATTTGAAACCCTGGCAACGTGCCGTCCTCCCATCCCTCCCTTGGGGTGCCGGTTTTCTTTCTTTCGGGACGGACCCTGTGCGTGAGTGCCAGTGTGCGCGCGCCCCAGAGTCGCCGCAGTCCCGTGCCTAGCTAGTTAGAGATTGGTGTAAGGTAAGGTAAGGTAAACTTCTCCACACACACGAGGTGGTGGCGGGGCAAGGGGGGGCGACCCAGAGAGGGGTTTATGACTTAAATGGAGCAAAATGTTTTCTTTCTTTTCGCAGAGGGGGGGGGGGGACTGGCACACGACACGTGCAGGACTGGCGTTGTTGGCTGGAAGGGACTTTTGCGAGGCGGAGTGAGAGGCGATTCACCCCTGCGCGTGTACCGCATTTTTCTGTGTCATGCACGGCCAGGGCCCAGGCTGAGGCACGGGCCGCGGAGGCGCGCGAGTCGGGGAAGTGACGGAAGGCCGCGGCGACCGTCAAGTGTTCCCCCACGAAAGCTACAACCGCTGTGAACCCAACCACGTAAGTATTATCTCAATCAATCTCCATAATATCTGTCTGTGTGACCGCGTTGTCACTTGTCTAAGAGCACAACTTCAAAAACCCCAACCCCGGTGATTGTTTCGGCGGGGCGATTCTCTCGTCTAAAAGCCCGTCAGATTCCTCAACGGATGACTGCCCGGCCCGCGCTGCCCGCCGTGCGTGCTGCGCCCGCCGTGGTGGTGAGGCAGCGAGTGGTGCTGGTCAACCAGGTGGTGCGCCTCGCCAAAGTCGTAGTACGCCCACGCGACGAGAAAGTAGATCAGCAGCCCGCTCGAGTCGATGACCGTGGTCATCAGCGGCGCCGACGTCAGCGCCGGGTTCGATCCGAGCCGCGCTGCCAGCAGAGGAAGGGTCGCCTGATCGCCGAGGGGGGAGGGGGGAGGGGGAGGGGAGGGGGGGGGGGTGGGCGGGGGTTGCGGCAGGCCATGCTCGCCCGGAGCTATCTCTCCGCTCCGTCGTGGGATGGCCTCAGCGGGTTCGAGCCTGCATTGGCTGCCGGGTGTGCCGTGTGTCGCTCCTCTGTGACCGTCTCTCCCATGCCGCCGTGAAGCGTCTCGGGACTACCTCGGAACTGTCTCGGAACTGTCTCTGTGACCGTCCCTCCGTCTCGCCGGCGTCCCACCCATACCGCCGTCTTGTCGCTGGCCAGACTGTGTCTGCTCACCTCTTTGACTACCTACCTAGGCCTACCGCCCCTCTTCCTACCTAGGTGTCTGGCCGCCTCTCTACCTGGCTGCAGTCTCGCCCCCACGAAGCTTGTATCTCGACTGTCTCTCGGCTGTCTCTCGGCTGTCTCTCGGCTGCCTCTCGGCTGTCTCTCGGCTGTCTCTCTGCTGTCTCCCTGCTGCATCTCGGCTGTCTCTCGGCTGTCTCTCGGCTGTCTCTCGGCTGCCTCTCGGCTGCCTCTCGGCTGCCTCTCGGCTGTCTCTCGGCTGTCTCTCGGCTGTGTATCAAGAGCGCCCCCACGAAGTTGGCCCAGAGAGAGACCAGAGGCAGCGACACGGCGACAACCACCTACTCAATCCATCGCTGCAGTGAGAGTGCCAGCGCGCCCCCTCCCCTTGCCGCCTCCGTCGGTCGAGCTCGGAGCGGCCCCAACGTGGAAGGAGACGAGGTGGCAGAGCAGGCCGACCGAGAGGAAGAGCGCGCCCAGCGCGACACCGCACAGCCCGCCGACCTAATGACCACGCCTGGCCGTTCTGACTACGCACCAACTACTCTCGCCACACAGCCCGCCGACCCAACGACTCACCACTCACACCCAGTCCTCCCCGCACCGGGGGGGGGTGCGTCTCCGCCTGCGGCCCGGCTGGCTGCGAGTCTGGCCCGGCTGGCTGCGAGTCTGGCCACTCCTCTCCGCTGTACACTGTAGTCGGCCCCGTGAGCCGTGTCTGCTGCGAGAGCCACGGTGTTGGAGAGAGCGCGTGTCTGACTGTCACTGTGCGATGTCGGGGCCCGGGGTGGTGCGTTTATCTGCTATGGGCCCCGAGTATGGGGTACGTGCCTACTCACAGCAGTGTGAAGGTAGGGGATCCTGGAGTCCTTCTCTCCGTGTGTTTCTTTTCCCCAGCGGGGTTGTGCGTTTATGTGTGAAGAGAGCGCAAGGGGCTGTGTGTCTGGCGGTGTGCGGCCAGTGTGTCGTCAGCCGCTTCTCTGTCCACCCATACCGCGCTGGTGTCCAGTCCGAGCCTGGCTGCTCTTCACCTACCTACCTACCTACCCACCTACCTACCCACCTACCTGTTCTCTCCGCATCTGGCACGCAAGCCTGAGTGTGAACGATGCATACTCAGCGGGGTCATAGTCGACCGTGTCGCCGCCGCACCGCCCGCCGACCAGCGTCTCGCGCGAAACCACCCGCGCGAAGGTGGCGCGCCTACGGTAAGGGCCGGTAAGGAGAGGTAAGGGGCCGGCGCCCTTCTCGGCACAGATAAGGCGGCGGGGCAAGGGCCAGGCTAGTCCCTCGCGTCTCCCCGTCTAGACGACAGGAGCCCCGCGGCATTCAGAGTGCAAGGCCCGGTGCGCGTGGGTGAGCGGCGTGAGTGGTGTGGGTGCATGTGTGTGTGTGTGTGTGTGTGTGTGTGTGTGTGTGTGTGTGTGTGTGTGTGTGTGTGTGTGTGTGTGTGTGTGTGTACTCCGTGAACACACGCACACACACCACTCCTCTCCGCCTGACACTCTTGGTGAATCTCTCTTAACAGAGCTCTCATAGTTCGCTGTCAGTGTCCACAGCGTATGAGCCCCGTCCGTGCCTAACCCCGCGGATCCGGCCGGCGTTTTCTTCTTTTCCTCGAGTGCCCAAGTGTCCTCTCGAGTGCCAGAAGAGGCAATCAGTGATTTCATGTCTACTTTCAAAGTGAAATCAGCGATTTCATGTCTACTTTCAAAGTGACTTTGACGCAGCATCTAGGCGGAGCCGCAGCGACGGGTCGAGCTCCTTGGCCGCGAGCGCGCGGATCACGCTGCCAACAGCTTGCGAGCCTGGCGTACAGTGATTACATCGGCTTCAGGGTGTGAGCGCGTGTGTCCGGAAATGTGCTTTGTGTGTGAAGACGGTCTCGTGCCGTGCCACCGGTGCACCGCGTGAGCACAAGGCCTCCGATGGCAGACTGCAGAGTACGGCACCCCGGCGAAGAGGCGCCGTGAAGCACAGATGTTGGTATAACTTGATACAGCCGCACGATCTGTTTCGTGTGTCTAGGCTTAGCGAACCGGCGTTGCCTCCGTGGCCAATGATCAGCGGCACGAAGTGGGCGAGCTCGACGTTGCGCTGCAGCATGTGCTCGAACCAGTCGATGACGAACGCGGCGCCCCAGAGGCCGACGAGGAATAGTGCTAGCCAGCCCAGCCGCGACCTCACGGCGGCACAGACGCTGCTCGAGTACTCCTCGTCGGCGTGTGCGCGCAGCCGCTCAGTGAAGACTCCGTCGGAGATTCCGTCGGAGCCGGCGGCGGAGGCGTGCTTGGAGCGCTGTTCGCTCTCTCGCGAGAAGATGAGCGGATACTGCTCAATTAATGTGGAGGAGTTGAGCGACATCCGCGGTGGTTCCTAAGTGCATGAATGTATTGATGAATGCACGCGTGTGTACCGTGAAAAGCGCCATTTTGCTCTGGTGCCTAAGCGGCGTGCTTGTAAACCGCCGCCAAAAAAGAAAAACAGCGGGACGGCGGCTTCGGCTGGGCGCACCCACGACTCATCGCGCCGGCCGCTTCGACTGGGCGCGTGCTCGACGTCCTCTATCTGCTGCGGCGGCTCGAGGACGTGTCCCCGTTGGTGCCGCCCCCGAACGAGTGGGCCACGTCCGGCGTGCCGATGCTCGAGGAGGCGGTCGCGTTCATCGAAGAGCTTGTGAGCAATTCGGCGGGCTTCAAGCACGGCCCGGACAGCGACGCCGACGACTGGAGGTCCCTCCGCAACAAGATCGTCGCGGACGACGGCTCCGTCGACTACAAGGGGATCGAGCAGGTCTCGGGGCGCCACTTCCAGCACGTCGCCAACAACGCCCTGCAGCAAGACATGTTCGACGCCATCGTCAACGACCCGAAGGTACACCCGGCGACGCGAGCGCACTTCCGCTCGACGAAGCAACTCGGGGCGGGCGCGGTGCTCGGCATCGACGTCGTCCACAAGGACGTCGAGCTGAACGACAAGGCGTGGCTCCACGAGGCGCAGGGCTACCTCAACCACCCCAAGGGCGCCATCACCCTCGCCACGCGCTGCGTCGGCGTGGGCCCTAACTCGGTGTGCATCTACCACCGCACGAGGCTACCGGGATGCGTCCCGTGCGACATCGGCGAGGCGCGAGTGCCGCGCACGCTGTCGCTCTTCGAGCACCTTAGCGGCACGCACTGGGACGGATGCAACTACGGCGGCTGGTTGGCCACGGGGCACGCATCCCTCAACACTCACGTCACGAACGTCGCCCGCGCCTTCGGCGCCTCGGCAAAGGTCATGGAGGTGAGGCTCGGCTGCAGGGACCCGACGCGGGCGCACGATCCGGACACCAACCCGTACCAGCGGGGCGACGGCGTCTTCGGCAACTATGCAGAGTCGGCACGCGCCGTGGTGTACGACGGCACGTGCGTCACCGCGGTGCACCATGACAGGCTGCGCCCGCTGGCGAGCGGCAAGCGCCTAGCCACCGACTACGCCGAGGCGACGAAGCGGAAGGCCAAGGCAGCGGCGTGCGACGCCAAAAACTGCGACTTTATGACGTGGGCGGCGAGCACGCGCGGCGGCATCGGAGTCGCTTAGGCGGCTCCGGTGGTGAGCCGGTGTGTGTGCCAGTCCGCGCCAGTCCGCGCCCTTGTCGTGCCAGTGTGCTGCTCAAGAGGCGTGTACTTGGAGCACTTGGAGTGCAGTCAGTAACCTCACATCCAGGGCCGGTGAGCTGAGAAGCGCATCCAGCGGGCCGGATGATCGGGATCGGGCTACGGGCTAGAGAGCCCTGACCCCTATCTAGGGGGGGGGCGCGCATTCGCAGGGCAAGGGCCTTCGGGCACACCGAGCGGTTGCGCCACTCGCCGTCGTCGAAGAAACCACCAAAACGGAGGGCCGACGCAGTGCATAATCCACGGCGCAGTGCATCCGCTGGCAGGGCGACGGGGGCGATTTCGTTGTCTGTGGGGTGTCAGGAGGAGGGAATCGCAGTTCGCACCGCTTGAAGGTTCGCTTTGGGTTTGGTGTGGGTGGTGGTTGGGTGTGTGGAAAATAAAAACAACCCCATAAAAACCTACTCATAAACTCCGTCGGGGCTCTTGCGCGGGGGGCACAAAGTGCGAACCCCCGCGACCCCTTCATCTCAGTTTGGCGCGGGTGTACCAGTTCAAGCCACCTGCTCGCGGTCCTCCCGATTGTTGCGCCAGCGAGCGCCACAGCGCAGCGGCGTAGGCTGATTTGGAGGAGGTGAAGAATTAAACGGTCAAACTCTGAGACGAACTGGGATCTAGGGACATGTGTCCCCGCCCTGCACGATGTTGATGTGGAGGGATCTTCAATCCGTCCCCTCACCCCTCGTCACAACCCCACGTCAGAAGAGCGCGGCATCCGGCAAGAGTTGTGGGGCCGCGACTGCGGCTGCGGCTACGAGAGGGGCCGCGGTCTGGAGGTGTGCCATGGGATCTTGTGTGCCATGATCTCCTTTCTTTCTGTATCTAGATAGAACCAATGCGCCATGCTGAGATTAGCGTTTTGCGTCTCGAGTGTCCCGTCCGTGTTCTCAGCTCTGGTTCGCCGTAAAGCCGTACTCCCCTACTCGCGACCGATCCTCCGTCGTCATATTCTTTCGTTTGATCCTCAGCTCCTTCGACAGCGTCTCATCTGCCAGCTTACTCACTCTCACTCGTGTAACACCCTTCCGAAAGAAACCGATTACGCGCCGCGACCGCTACCCCCCCTGTCTGTTGTACCGTACGAAGAAGGCGCCCTCGATCTTCAGGTCGTGCCAGTATGTGTTGAGGTAGTCGGCGTGCGTCGCGTGCGAGTTGCGCACGCGCATCGAGTAGCGCTTCGGGTAGACGCACGCCGCTTGCATGGCGAGGTCCTGCCGCCGGAGGACCGTGGTTGAGGGAGAGGCACGCAGTGGTACGTTGTAGTAGTGCGTGCAGTTGCTGAAGCCAGTGTCGATGCCGAAGCCGTACGTAAATACCCGCCTGCACAGATGGTTGGCCACCTCGAAGGCGATCAACCCCGTGGACGGCCAGTGGTGCAACTCTGGAGCGTGCTCCGTGCTGGACGCAAGAGAGTGGGACCGAGCGACCTGCACGACGAAGCGCGGCGAGAGGCGTGGCACGCCGTCGACGCGGGCTTGCAACCAGCATCCGCCCAACCAAGCGGTGTGGCAGTAATACAGGCATGCGCGCCCCTCCCTTGCGGCTTGGTCGCACACGGAGCCTTCCCCGCTGTATGTACTCACGCGCAGGGTCTCGCGCGAGCCCGTGAAGGCGGCGAACATCGGCTCGAGTGGGGCGCTGTTTATCCGGATCACCACATCGGCGCGGTCAATCTCCCGCCCCCGCTCCACCTTGAGCAGCGTGCTGCTCGAGCCCACGACGGCACACGTCGCCCTCGCAGGTAGCAGCTGCGAGAACACCTCCGCTTTCTCGCGTGCGGCTGCGGTGAGGTTGTCGTACCGCTCCCGCGTCAGGCGACGGTCGTACACATCGGGGTTGTAGCCCGAGATCATCGCCTCTAGATCCGCGCGAACGGACCTGCCGACCTTCTTAACATTGGTGCCAGGGATGGAATCCGTCCTGATCTTGGTCGACTGATACTCTTGCTGGACACTCTGCGCATCGCGGCCACTGGAGCATGAGCAGCGGTAGTACATACTGCCGGGGGGGAAGCCGCACAGCACCGTTGCGCCGCTGCAATTGAAGCGTCCTCTGCAGTTGGATACCCACATCGAGTCACCAAGGCAGCCGAAGGAGCGCTGAGTGCACGCACTCCGTGAGAGTTGCTGAACGAGCGAAACGTTGCACGCGGAGTTCCTTTCACCCGTCGTGCCCATAGAAATTGCCGTTTGCGGCAGGGTTTGCAAAGGGCGCGTCTGGTGGGACCAACCCATTGTTGACCGGGAAGGTTCAGCCGGAGAGAATAGAGAGCCGCGCCTACGGACAGCACGGGCGTGTAGCCTCCTTTCGGCTTTGCAGAGCGAATAGACGCGTTGCCAAAAGAATTTTACTATCAAAGGCGGTCGCACGACACGATTCACGCGACAGGCGAGGCGCGGGCGACGGCTTCCTCAGAAGCCGTCGCCCGCACCACAGGAGCCCGAGTGAGTGTGTGTGTGTGTGTGAAAGCGCCGTCGCAACTGCCATGTCGGCCGGGGGGGGCAGGTTGTAGGCTGGTGCTCTCGCCCCGCTGGCGGCGCGGACCGGTGCCGCGGCTCCGAGCCCTCCTGTGGGCCCGTGGCGGCTCGCCGTCGCGGTGCCGAACAATGGGATCGGTGCGGATTCATCCCGGCGTGCCGCCGGTGCCGCTTCTTCGGCGAAATTTTGATCAAGCTCTTTGTCGACAAACCTGAGCCCGAGCTCTTCCTGCTCGAATGTGCGGCGGAACCGGGCCCTGGATGCTGAGATGTGAGGCGCCGGCACCGGGGCTACAACGCGGGGCCATCTCCGGGCTGTCTCGGGCAACCTCAAATTTGGCGCCTCTCTCTGCTGCTGCTGCTGCTACCCTACCGCCGCCGCGCCGCCCCGCCCGCCGCCGCGCCGCGCCGCCCCCCGGTGATTATTAATTCATTATTAATTAACTAATAAGTAATTATACCACCCGCCGCCGCCCCGCCCCGCCCTGCGTCGCCCGCTGCCTCGCCGCGCCGCCGCCTCGCGCCGCCCGCCGCCGCGCCGCGCCGCCGCCCGACAATTATTAATTCATTATTAATGAATTAATAAACAATTATACCACCCGCCGCCGCGCCGCCCCGCACTGCGTCGCCCGCTGCCTCGCCGCGCCGCCGTCTCGCGCCGCTCGCCGCCGCGAGCCCTTCACACCGAGTACCCGGGTACTCTAGTAGCTGGGTGGGATGGCTGTAGGGAGACAGGGTCCATGTTTAGCTTCGCCTCAAAGCCCCGGCTATCAACAGAGTCGCCGCTGTCCGCAGCCTCTGTGTCGGGCACCTTTTGGGCGTATACATCCTCCAAGGCCCCGCTCGATGCTGGCCGCCTGCAGCGGCGCCTCGTTGCGCTGCACGAAGCGGAGGCCGTTCTTCTGCTAAGGAAGCCCGGCGCAGCGGTCAAAGCGCCGGCCGAGAGTGCACTCGACTCCTGGGGCCTGGATGCGATCGACGACTTCTCGCTCGTCCTCTCTGACGGAGGGCGAGCACAGCTTCTGCGGCTTTGCTTCTTCTCCGGCAGGCGCACTCGACCGGACCTGTAGATCACCTGTCCCGTCCCGATCGCGCGCACTGCTCGAGACACTGGACTGCCACCGACATCATCCTTTCCAATAGGCCGGGCCAGCGCTTCCTCTTCCTCGGCAGCGACGCGGGCGGCGGCGCAACGCTTCGGCAGAAGCGAGAAGCTTCCGAGAACCTTCGTAGGCGGATCGAGCGCAGCGCTCGCTCGCTGGCGAGAGGCGCTGCGACGCGCGGCGGCCGTCCCTCCGACGCGCCGCGCCCTCTCCTCCGTCTCTCCCCTCCGCCTCGCGGCGCAGTGCCTCGCCATCTCCAGCGGCGCCGGCAGCAGCGGCGGCACCGACAATGGCGGTCGGTGCAACGGCAGTCGCTCTGTCGGTGCTAATGCTGGCGGTGGCTCCGCCGCCGTCGGCGGTGGCAGCGGTGGCGGAGGAGGAGTTGGCGGCGATGGCGGAGGCGGAGGTGGCGGCGGTGGTTGCGTCGGAGGTGGCGGAGGTGCCGGAGGAGGCAGTGGTGACGGAGGCAGCGGAGATAGCGGAGCGGCGGAGCCGTTGCGCGTTGTGAAGTGCGGTTGGCTGCTGAAGAAGCGCGACCACCTGCCGGGCCGCAACCGGCGCTGGGTGGCGCTGTGCAACGGGCGCGGCCGCCGCTGGCTACTGTACTACCTCTCTCTCGAGGACCAGGCGCCTCGCGGCTTGGTCGACCTCGAAGGGCGAGATGATCCGAGATCGCTCCGAGACCTCCCCGAGACCTCCCCGAGACCTCCCCGAGACCTCCCCGAGACATCCCCGAGACATCCCCGAGACATCCCCGAGACCTCCCCGAGATCTCCCCGAGATTGGTCGAGATTGACGGAGGGTCAGGTGCCGCGTCAGCGTGCGCAGCGCGCCGGGCGCCGCCGCCGGCGCTGTCCAGCTCTCCTCACCCGCCCTCGCCAAGCCGATGGATTTGGGCTGCGAGGGGGGCACAGCAGAGCTGGTCGAGTGGCTGGCGGCGCTCAGCGGCGGAAGCGGTGACGTCGGCGATGGCGGAAGCGGCGGCGGCGGCGGCGGCGGCGGCGGCGGCGGCGGCGGCGGCGGCGGCGGCGATGGGTTGGGCGGCGGTGGCGCGGGCCGTGGCGCTGGCAGCGTGAGGGACAGCGACGGGGGCGGTCCGCACTCGATCGACGTGTCTACTCCGCGCCTCAGTCCGGCGGCGCTTGCAGCCCTTTGGATGGAGCAAGCCGCGCTCAGCTCGATCGCCGACGGCATCGCCACACGTTCACTCCAGGCGGCACTCGCCACGAGATCACACGAGATCACACGAGATCGCACGAGGTCGCCACACGCTCGATCCAGGCGGCACTCGCCACGAGATCACACGAGATCACACGAGATCGCACGAGGTCGCCACACGCTCACTCCAGGCGGCACTCGCCACGAGATCACACGAGATCACACGAGATCGCGCGAGGTCGCCACACGCTCACTTCAGGCGGCACTCGCCACGAGATCACACGAGATCGCACGAGATCGCACGAGATCGCGCGAGGTCGCCACACGCTCACTCCAGGCGGCACTCGCCACGAGATCACACGAGATCACACGAGATCGCGCGAGGTCGCCACACGCTCACTCCAGGCGGCACTCGCCACGAGATCACACGAGATCGCACGAGATCGCACGAGGTCGCCACACGCTCACTTCAGGCGGCACTCGCCACGAGATCACACGAGATCGCACGAGATCGCGCGAGGTCGCCACACGCTCACTTCAGGCGGCACTCGCCACGAGATCACACGAGATCGCACGAGATCGCGCGAGGTCGCCACACGCTCACTTCAGGCGGCACTCGCCACGAGATCACACGAGATCGCACGAGATCGCACGAGGTCGCCACACGCTCACTTCAGGCGGCACTCGCCACGAGATCACACGAGATCGCACGAGATCGCACGAGGTCGCCACACGCTCACTTCAGGCGGTACTCGCCGCCGCATCCGACACCGCCGCAACCTCCGCCACCTCCGGCACCGCCTCCGCCGCCTCCGCCGCCTCCGCCGCCTCCGCCGCCTCCGCCGCCGCCGATGCCGCCGCCGCCGCCGATGCCGCCGCCGCCGCCGCCTCTCCCATCGCCGTCGCCGCCTCGGACACCGACGCCGCCGACGCGAATGCTGCCACTGATGCGATTGCTGCAGCACCTACGGCGGCGGCCGCCGACACGATTGACTCCGACGCCGCCGCCACACCCGGCACCGCCACACCCGACGCCGCCATACCCGGTGGGCTGGGCGGAGGTGGGCTAGGCGGTGGCGGTGAGGGCGGCGGGGGCGAGGGAGGCGGTGAGGGCGGCGGTGGCGAGGGAGGCGGCGATGGCGGCGGCGGCGAGGGTGGCGGCGCCGCGACCTCGAGCGCGGCCACGATGCCGCGGTCGATGGAGACGACGCTTCGGCGCGTCGGCGAGTGCCTCGAGCGAGGTGTGAACAGCCTCTTCACGGCGCGGTGTGTGAACAGGCGCGTCCGCGAGTGCCTCGAGCGAGCGCCTCCGATCGCCTCCAACCCAGAGGGCGCCTTCGCCGCCGCCGTGGCGGCGGCGCAGCGCTTGGTGTCTCTTCTGGCCGCGCACGGTCTTCAGTCCGGGCAGAACGAGAGGCAGCTGTACGTGCACCGGCTGCTACGCGCCACACTTCTGGCGACCGCGCGCACCGCTAGGCAGGAGCGGCTGCCGTAGAAGCAGAATACGCGTTCTCGTCTCCCAGCCAGCGCTCGAGAGGACACGCCTTCGTCGTTGCTCCGCTGTATTCGGCTATAATCAACTGTGCTCGCAGCCCCTCGTCCTCACGCGGCGCTCTGAAGACTCTGCACGAGACCGCCTTCCCCGCCCTGAGGTTGGCGTATTCACCTCGCAGGAGCGGCACGCCACGGCGCTCGCGGCCGACGCGCCGCCAACCGCGGCTGATGTCGCCGCCGCGGTCGCCCTCCTGCGCAGCGACGCTGCCACTCCTCCGCAAGGGGACGTGTCAGCGGCGGGGGCGGCGGGGGCGGCGCCAACGGCGCCAACGGCGGCGGCGGCGCCAACGGCGGCGGCGGCGACGCCAGCGGCGGCGGCGGCGGCGCCAGCGGCGCCAGTGGCGGCGCCAGTGGCGGCGGCGGCTGCGGCGGCTGCGGCGGCTGCAGCGGCACCAGCAGGGCCCGCGTCCGCTGTGCCTGTGAACCCGCGGAACAACCCCCTGGCGGTACCCCTCGCGGTACCGTGGGCGGGAAGGATCCCAAAAATTGCCGGTCGGCCGTAGCTGGTGGCGAACTTCCTCCCACTTGCCGGGGACTGGCCACCAACGGCCAGCCGCCCGACACCCACCAAAGGAAGGGGGGCCTTCCT